GTGGGGGGGAGATCTCCTCGTCCTTTCTGCAGAGGAAGCACAGACGGATTTTAGCCAGCTCTAATCCTGTAAAACCCACTCTTTTCTTTTCTTGTTCAAGTGCACACTGCATCCTCTCGGGAGTTCCTCCTTTCACAAGCACCAGTTAGCTCAGCACGGAGCCGCGGAAGGGAAAATAAGCACAGATGAGGCTGAGCCACATCTGATTTAATTTAATTAACAGCAGTCCACTGGAGAAACAGCATGATGAAATGTAAATGTACGAAGAGAGAGACACAAAAAAGAAAGTGAGAGTTCAGGCCTGTATGTGTGTGAGAATGTGTCTCTACTGACTAAAAAGATGAGTATTTAAGAGACTGTATCATTATTGCGGAGAAAGAAATAGCTCTTTCAAAACCTAGAGTGCTGCCTACTTTGAATTTTACAGGATTTTAAAGGATAAATCATACACACCACTCTTGACATGAAGACTGGTCCAAATGATTGGCAGCAACCTTGCTGGCTTCTTGTATACCACATTTTGGCCAACATATACCACAAGTTTTGGCAGCATCACGTGTATCCCGGAATTATTATTGTTAACTAAAACGATTAAAAAAATGTTTGTTAATTGTTAAAAAACTGAATATAAATATTAGATTTAAAACTTGAACTAAAGAAAAGTTGGAAAAATTGCCTAGGCAGCAACTAAGATAAGTTGAAGCACTAAAATTACTATTTGGGAAAAAAACTAAACAAAACTAAAACAGAAATAAAAACAAATTAAACCTAAATAGTAATATTAAAACAATATATTAACGATAATAAAAATGACATAAGTAGATAAAATGACTAAAAAATTATCTAACAAAAACAAAAAAATAGAAAAAAAAAAATATATATATTAGATGAAAAATGAAAATCACAAATGTTGCCTTGGCAGCTAAAATAAGTTTAAGCTGAAGCACTAAAATTGGAAGTAGCCCTAGCCCTAACCCTAACCCTAACCCTAAGCCTAAACTGGAGATAAATAAAAATGAAAACTGAACTAAAACTAAAAGAAACCTCAATAGAATAAACAAATAACAAAATATAAAAACTAAAGATAAAAAAAAAAAAAAAAGTTGCATTTGCAATTAACTGAAATAAGTTGAAGAACTACAATGACTAAATGGAACTAAATAAAAACTAAAACTAAACTGAAATAAAATTAAACCTAAATAGAAATGTAAAAGAAAACTGTAATACAAATGACTAATTAAACTAAATAAATTGAAACAAAATGAACTGAAACAAACTAAACTGAAAATATAAAAACGAATTAAAAAATTTATAAAAACTATTATAATATATACAAAATAGTAAAAAATAACACTCCTGCAAGGAGATTTGCAGTCCCAGAATGCATTGCGACAAGCTCACTGAAGAAAAAAAAAAAAAATCCAAGATGGTGGATGGTGGAAATGTTAAATATATTTAATTCAGTACGAATGAAAAAAGGTAAAAAAACAAAACACTATTTGTGCTATGTATTATGCATATTAGTGTGTGTTGTTAGCTTAGCAGCATGCTAATGTCAGTATCTATTGGAATCAATTGTGGGTTCAAATAGGTTTAGCCTATGTAGATTGTTCCAAATCAGTCTCTTATGAGGTTCCATTTAATGAGGGTTTTGCCTATGTAGGCAGTATACAGTGAGGCAGCTCACTAGGTTTTGTAACAGAGCTAGCGTGTGTGTCCGAGCTGCAGTCTGTGCACCATGAAGATGTTAAATAAAGCATGATATTGACGATCGGTCACAGGAGATGCCATGATTCCAGAACACACACTGGTTCCATTCCAAACCCTAGTGAGCTGCACTACTATTTACATAAGCAGATGGTTTATAAGACAGCAACATAATCAAAGTCTAAGCACATGAGTGGCAAAAATAAAATGCTCTACAGTAAATCCATTGACACTTACTAAAAAATAACACTTCCTATATTGTCAATGATGGTTCCATGAAGAACCTTTAATATCCATGAAAGTGGATATTTGAAAGTGGAAAGAGCTGGGAGTGTGCATGATGCCTACAAATGTTGTCTAGAAAGGCAGCTCCCTAGGGTTTGGAACTGAGCTAATATATTATAGCAACACTACGCTTGACACAAAGATTCTCATGAATAAGAATCCTGACCTCACCTTGACCTGAAGAACAACACAGGTAATAACAGGAGAAAGACAATTGTTTTTTTTTTACACATCATTTAATGAAAACAAAGAAATGGCCCTCTGAGACACGACTATATGGTGGGTGTTTGAAAGGGGCATGGCACAGCAATAAAACATCTGCTGAAATCTGTCTTCAAACACAATGTTATGCTCTCAACAGCATTCAATGTATTATACTGAAAAAAGTTCTTACTTAATATTTCATTTTTTAAACTTATAAATATCTCAAAATTCTTAAACCAAGACACATTTACTCAAAATCAAGTCTTGTTTTCTGAAAAATTTATCAAAATTAAGTCTAAGTTATGCATGAAAACAATATCTGTCAATGGGGTAAGAAACAATTTTGTTTGAATTAAATTTATTTTTCTTACCTCATTGACAGTTAGTTTTTGTTAACACTTTAAAATAAGGCTCCATTAAAGCTCTATTTAAGAATGTTTAGATATTTGCATTGAAAAAAAAAAACTAATACTAAGTTAAAAAAAAAATACTAATTGCAATGTGAAAATAGCTAATTATTGTGATCTCAGCTATTTCAGATTCTATTTCCATTGTTAAAAGTAAACAAACTCTGGTTGGTTGCTTTTACATGTTTATCAAACAATCTCTTCGTGTCTAAGTGGGTGTTTCTTTTTTTCTTTTTTGGCCATAATAATCTGCAGTGTAGACTAGACGTTATGCTGATAGAAAAAAGTCTGATTACGGCCAGCATACACATTCAAACACAAAAGCATAAAAAAATGATGACAGATCTGCACTGCTAATTACTGCTAGCGAGCATGTATCACTCTCTCCCACAGCAACCGTGATGCTGATCATCTGATGCTGCCTGGGATCCAGATGTCTCAACTCCTAAGCACAATGTCACTGACAGTATGCCAACATCATTTGATCTTTCCCCTTCTCTCTCTGTCTCTCATTTTCCATCTTTTCGCAAGGGAAACTTTCATCATCAAGCATGTTCGCCAGTAATGATCTCACGAAAACACACAGATCTCAGTGTGTGAACATCATGATAGACAGAAAAGGGGTGAACAAAACTGACAGAGGGGCAAGTTTGTGATTAAAGCAGTAGTTCACCTAAAAATAAACAAAAGACTGTGTCATATATGCACCCTCATGTCATTTCAAACCCATGTCTGTGGTGTTGTCTTGTCATTTTCTAAATTTACCATTTACATTTTACCATTAAGGTTTCAAAAGACATTGGGTTACAGTGGGGTTAATGGGTTACATTGAGTGAATAATAAGATAAATCTTCTTTCATGTTCCGAAAGTCCTACAGTTTTGGAAGGACATTAGGGTTTTCATTTTTGGGCAAACTATTCCTTTAAGATCTGCTGCATTGTGACATTATTTTCATGATAATTAACCACATTTCCACCTCATTATTCTCATTTCTGTAATGCGTCTGGACATTTTACAGACAATGTTTTTTTTGTAATTCTCATTATTCTCAATGGAACTTCTCATTCGATTCTCATCAATGTAACAAACTGCTTGATTATCACGAAAATAATGTCATAAAATCTTCCTAAAAATAGGCTTCATGTTCTTTAAGCAAAATATTATTTCAAATATTTCCTTTCCTGATTTTTGGGGTGAAATATGACCAGGAAAAAAAAAAGATTCACTCATTTTTATACAACAGCATATCTGCTGCCACTGCCAGACAAAAAACCGACAACAGCTGTGGTTAAACTCGATAAAACGAGCAGACTCTACAGAAACGATCGTCAAAAATGCTTGCGTTTGCAGCGCACACTTATTATCAGAAAAGGTTAAATAAAGTATTGTCGTTTGTTGTTATGGGCGCGTCTACAGATTTCTTGCCATATGTCTATGTTTCTTGCATATCACGACTATGTCGAGTGAGAGTGTAACGTTACAGGTCGGCCGATCTGGTTTCGTGGTTAAAGTTAACCTTTTCGACATGTTTCTGTGTTGTTGTTGCTCAGCAATGGCATGGACGCGATGTTGTCTGGGGGTTTGGCAAAAGGAGAGTGGGACTGTGGGCGGTGATCGGGGTGGTGACTGAAGGCGGTGACTGAGTAGTTCTGACATCAACTTTTTACGGAAGTGTTTTTTGCAGTTGACAAGAGTTTTTCACCTACACATAATCTACACTTGACGACAATCCCCTTCTCCCTTTCTTCGACGAGTTCAAAATAATTAGAATACTTCCATCGCAGAAATGTAAAGCTCTGACCTGCCATCTCCGTTTCTGACTATGTCTGTTCCCGCGCACGCTTTGAGTGCGTGATTCTACGCGATTACGTTCATTTTAATTAAGTAATTACATTTTTTTTAAAGCAAATTAATTAAACTGAAAAAAGTAACTCGCGTTACTTTTTTAAAAAAGTAACTCGAATATTCATGTGTAAATTTATAAAGTAATGCGTTACTTTACTAGTTACTTCAGAAAAGTAATATTATTACGTAACGCACGTTACTTGTAACGCGTTACCCCCAACACTGGTCACAACGGTTCGTGAAAAATCACAGCTACTTCATGCAGGCTGTAAGCATTTTACTGTGGAATGACTGTTTTGAAACTTATATGGTAGTTAAATAGCCCCTAGACATCAGTTATTGTGAAAAAAGCCAGGAAATTTCAGTTTTGACAATATGGGACCTTTAAAGCCAAGACAAGCCTGAATAACACGAGCGTCACGGACCCTGACATCATGTTTAAGTGCCCTCCTGACACTGTACCTTTCGACTGCACTTGGTTTTTGTAAACACACCCCTTCATTGCATCATTAATCAATGCAAACACACACACACACACACACACAAATACACAAACCTGGAGTGGTTTTACTCTAAGTGGTTTCCGAGCCTGTGACCTCAAAGAAGAAAGGTATTAAAAAATCCTTCAGATATATTACAAACACTCAAGTGTGCAAAATGTAGTGCACACTCAAGTGTGGCAGATGACCCAATTTCCTTCACACTAGACGGCATGTTCACGCTGTTGTAATGAATGATTAATCTCACATCACATGCTGGGTACTTACAAGAGCCTTGGGAGAAAAGCCCCTAAGGCTCATGGCATGTGTGTTTTAATGCACACATTCGTGCGTGTTTGTGCGAGCGAGTCGCTGGTACCAGTTTAAGTACATCCATTTGCTATGGGTGATGTAAACAGAGCTTAACAAATAGGTCTGAGCAGAAGACACCAAACCCGCAGGACACGGCAAGCAAAGCCACTGCTCTGGCATAAGAATACTGTCTTAGGAAATGAAATGGAAACAGTTATCAAGTATATTTGAGCCTAATGAACAGAATTAAGACTCATCTCATTACTTTCATGCCCTCACAACATCAGAAAGATCGCTGATTTGATTTGACTCAATTTGGGTTATATGTGCATCTACTTTCACTATACAATTCATTCAAAGCAGCTTGTTCAGCAAGATTCTCTTAAAACTGTAGCTTTTCAATGATAGTTTAAGCTAAAATCTGCACCCCTGGTAGCAATGCCGAGAATGCATTTGATTAAATATCTCCAAAATATACAAAAATACAGTATGAAGCAGCACAACTGTTTTCAACACTGATAATTATAAGAAATGTTTTTGAGCACCAAATCATCATTCTAGAATTATTTCTGGAGAAAATTCAGCTTTGCCATCACTGGATTAAATTACATTTAAGAATATATTAAAATAGAAAACGCAAACCAGCAAAAGATAAAGAAGCAAAAGTGTAGGCTTAGTAGAAAATGTATATATATCTAAGTTGATTATTAGCCTACTCTTGACAGAGAGCTGGTTTGGTTTTTGAGAAAGGGCAACATGGCTGTTTGATTGGAGTTCGCGCTGTGCTTATTCCATTCATTTGTGTATCATATCATACAAGGTTTATATCATTGACATATAAATATACAGAAATAGTATAACATGTATGAAGAAGTATTTTAGTTGATATTCTCTGATTTCTGAGAGATGCACATAGAGGCAACAGCAATGCGGCTGTTTGATTTGCACTCATTCATAAAGTTTACTTTCATTCACTTCACACACTCATTATAGCATAGTGACTTTAGAGGTTTACGTATAATATCGTGCTGATCCCTTGGCTAAGTTATCCAGCAAATTGACGAGTGCCTGTCTCAGCCTCAGCCGAATATTTTTCAGCAGAATTATTTGTTATCTGTTATTCATTTTGAAGCCATTATTCATGCCTTTCCGAATAAGGTATTCGGCTTTGAGCACACCCCTACTGTTTTTACTGTGTTTTTGATCAAGCAAATGCAGCCTTGGTGAGCATAAGAGACTTCTTTCAAAAGCATTAAAAAAAATCAAACTTTTGAACAGTAGTGTATAGGCCTATCAGTTATAGTATATCTGCCATCAGCCACTCTGCCACCTCTCTAGTTACAAGTATCCACATGTTTAATCCCATATGTGTTGACCGTTACTGTTGTGCTAGAATGAAATCCAGAATGTATTTAATTTCTTGCAAGCTGTGAGTATGCTATCCATTTGTAAATATAATGTTGTAAACCTGACATAAAGTGTGTCTTCTGGGTGTTGTTGTTGCACAGTCCCTCTGGTTTCTCTGTGCTCAACTGAAGTGGAATATCTTGTACGTGCTCTGGCCTCGATCTTACCCCACGTCGAGGATGTGTTCACTTTACTGAGCTACCAAATGCCAACACACAAGAAATGTCACTGCAAACCAAAGATGTGCATGAGAGAAAGAGAGAGAGAGACAGTGAGTGCGAACCAGAGGAAGTCACAGGCAGGGTTTGTTGAGTCTTGCCCAGAGATCGTGTTAAAGCACATTGCAGATTTAGCTGAACAGAACGAATGTGTGCTTGATAAACTATGATAGAATGAAGAACAAATCTGCCATGACATCAGGCAATCCTTCAAAATCATCCTTGTATATATATCCAACATGTCTGTTCAGTCTCTGTGGCTTTCAGAGCTTTTGTTTGAGGACAAACTTAACCAAAAATGTAACTTCTGTCATCATTCACTTACTGCCATGTTGTTTCAAATACATGCAATTGACTTTGGAAGAATTCCTGAATAATCTTTGCTTTTTCTATATTATGAAACCATATCTATCAATCTGTAAGTGTCTTGACTCACCAGTGCTGGATCTGATGGTTTCGTTCCCCACGGTTTGCCCCAGTAGGTCATACTGGTTTAATCTAGAGCTCTCCTCTTCTACCACCACAGAGTTGGATGCGTTCTTTGTCCAGGTG